GGTGCAAATACCGGGAAAGTTTGTCTTTGTTCTGAGACACAGGTGCAAACTGACCCACCCTGCCAGCTGGCATTCACACCTTGGCTGAGAGGGATACTGCCGTCGAGGATGACAACTCAGAGACTGCTTTGCTTTTTCTGAATGTCAGGTAGCTGGCTTTTCTCCTCATGACAGGAGGAGCTGGGCTTCTTCCACTCGGCTTGGGGTTCTGACTATAAAATCTGTAAGAGAAGGGTTCGAGCAGACATTTCCAACACTCTCAGACTTTGACTTCAGCCCACAAGAGGGGTGTGTGTGTGCTTCTCAGTGACAGGGACAGAATACTCAGGGATCTCATCCAGCCACCCTGGATGAGGTGAATTGATTTAATCTTGGCTGCCTCTGGCAAGAGCACATCTACAAATGATCTACAAATGTAGATCATTTAAAAAAACAAACAAGCCACTTGTAATTGGAGGATTATGTTTGTCTCCCACACCAGCCTGGTCCACTCTGAGGTTTGTTATGGTTAGGCTACACACAAAGCAGCAAGAGGATACCAGCTCTGCCTCCACTGCCCAGCAGCAGTACAGGCTGCTGGAGTCTCTCTGTCCTGGTGGCTGTCCCTCCTGTCAGCCCATCCCTTTCTTGCAGCCTGGGAAAAAAGCCTGGTCAGTCTTCTCCCTGGCCAAGCTCCCACACAGATGGGTGAGAGGAGTTGTGATTGTTCTGCACTCACTCCACCTGGGAGAAAGCACCATTTTCCAGCTGGACACTGTTTGTTCTAAGGGACAGCAGCTGCTTGCCAGCACTGCACCCCTCAGGAAACACCCAGAGGCAGAGACATGGCCAAATGAAGGAGAGGCAGCTCACACATTTTGAGGCACTGAAACTGCTTTTGTTTGGGGTATCAGGGAGGAACAGGGTGAAAGGAGAGCTCTTGCTCCTGCAGCTGGTGCCTGAAATGCACGGTATGGAACCCCAGCCCTGCAAGTCTAGAACCCCGGCACAGACTCAGCTTTGCTGTGCTGTCAGACTGCTTGTTTTTGTCCAGAGCCAAGCCTCACACATGGGCAAAGGCACTTCACACCAGTCACAGAGCAGCGAGACCACTGCTCCTGGAAGAGAAGACTGAGTGTCTTGCTGGTGTTGGTGATCCAAAGGCCTGGACTGAGACTGGGGCTAACCCTGAAGAAAGGTGGCTGCCTGCCAAGCCACAAACTCCATTCCCTGTCACCTTCTTACTTCTACCACTCATGTTGCTGCATCTTGCCTCACTTTTAAATGCATCCAAGAGCCCTGCCCAAGATTATGACTTGGAAGTATAACACAGCCTGCAAGTTAAATATACTCAATTCTATCTGACATCAACAGGGAGTGTTGTTACTCATAATTAGTCTCCAGTTACACAGAAATTACTCTTTTCACAGTTCTCCCTTGCAGTCCTTAAAAACAAAAGATAAATGTCTTGAATCAATTTTTACCTGTGATTAACAGCTCTTTCAGCCTAATTTTTAATTTCACTTCTAACTTTGAAGGGGTTTTGACATAAGCCACATGTTAAAATTACTCCAATGGGTTGGAAGGTCCAGCTTCGGAAATAAACCTGTAATGTGGTCTCCCCCTCTAAGATCATACAGCCAAAGTACACCATGCCACATTTTGCTTTCAGGAGGCCTCCTCTGCTCTGTATGCGCCCAAGTGAATGCCTGTCTGTACTTGTATCACAAGTTGTCCCAGGATTTCAAAAACAGTGCAGGTCAGAAGCACTGGCATTTTCCCCAGGCTGGGAGGAGAAGCTGACCTGAGGCTAGCTGGGGATGCTAGCACCACATTGTGTAGGTTGGTTTCCTGCTGTTTGCAGTAAGGAACATGGGGGAGATTCAGCGCAGCTTGCAGATGGCAGGCACTTGCTGGAGTTCCCAAGGTGCCGAAGCCAGAAGTCAGGGGGCTGAGATGAAGCTGGTGGGCAGTCTGATCATGGGCCCTTTACATGCTGCTGCAGACCACCATGCAGGCACATGTGAGGAGCACCAGGCAAGCTGGAGACTCCCTATCACCAGCTGTTTACTCAAAACAGAGCTCAGCCCTCCCCACAGCTGTGGGGTAGGCTTGGTCTGAAACAGGATATGAAACCTCCAGCCTAAGGTGGCCACTGAATGTAGGTGTAGGAAATATCTGACCACACTTGGGCCATCCTTTCACCTCTCAAAAGCAGAAGTAAGAACGACTCCAGCTCTTACTACACTCTGTACAAGTCACCTTTTGCTGCAAGGCCACCTTCCAGGGAAATAGTAGTTCCTACAGCTCACCTTAGATCCCCAGCCAAGAGAGGAGGAAATCCTCATCAGTTCTCAGGACCCTTCCGAACCCACTGCACATATGTCTGGAGGATCACATAGGAGGAGAGATCCCAAGGAGAGATAAGAAAAAGCCCATAGCTAATATCAACTGGGAATGGTCACTGTGTTTCAGGAGAAAGGCCTGTCATCTCCTGTGATTTCAACAGGCTGAAGGAATGGGCCAGAAGCAACCTTGTGAAGCTAAGCACAGGAGAGGTGATTCTTTCTCACCACTTAGTGCTGCTGAAGACTCATCTCCATACTGCATCCAGTTTAGGCCTCTCCAGTACAAGGAAGACACAGACAAACTGGAGAGAGTCCAGCAGTGACCACCAAGGTTGTGATGAGGCTGTGTGTGCTGGTTTAAGGGTAAACCAGCAGGGGAAATGAACTCAACTCAAAAGAGAGACCACAAGTCAGAATAACAATTTATTAAAACAACACAACAAGTATGATTATACAGACAAACAACCGGCTTCAATCCACAAAAACCCAAATGTACAACCCAGCACGCTGGGATATGAACAAGCGGTGTTCCCTGGGCCCCCCTGAGTCCAAAGTAAAGGGAGAGCGGAAAAACCTGCTGGTGGGAGAGCTGTTGCAGTCCGGTCAGAATGGTGATTGCAGTCCAGTCGAGGGTGGTGGTCTCAGTCTGGCCGAGAGCGGTGAGCTGAAGTCCTCCTCTGGATCCCACGAGTGGTAGAAAAGTTCCGAAACTCCAGGTTTACATATTCTCCAGTTCAGGCAGGAATAGTCAATCTTTCCCTCAGAGCGGGGAATTCCATAAAAGGATGCTCAGTTCGTTCCCTCAGAGCAGGGAATTCCATAAAAGGGTATGAGGACAGGAACATCCCCCCCACAGGCAGCCCTCCCCCCCCAACAGTTTCTGGGAAATGGCATGGGGGGCCATAGAATACACAGTTTTGGGCTACACCCATCCAGTGATGAATCGGTCCCAGCTGTTCTAACTAGGACACTGTGGCACAGGGCATATGAAGAGACATTGAAGGAACTGGGCTTCTCCAGCACGGAGAAGTGACAACTGCAGAGTTCTCGCAGGGGTCACCCACTTCCTGAATCGTGGTCATGGAAAAAACAGAGCCAGAGTCTTCTCAGAGGCAGACAAGGACAAGACATGGGGCAATAGATACATGCTGTAAGACAGGACATTCCAGCTGGGCATGAAAAAATTCCTGCACTGAGGGTGGTGCAACTCAGAGAACAGATCTCTGTCCTTGGAAGTATGCAGAATTCAACATGGCCCAACGCAACCTGATCTAGCTTTGGACTAGGGGGTTGGACTGGAGGTCTACAGAGATGCCTTCTTACCAAGACTTCCTGGCAATTCTGTGTTACAGTGGGAGGCAGGGAATACGTCTGCCTTCCTTTGGAGGTTTGTGGCTTCCCTCTGCTCTAAAACATCCCTGGTGTCCAGGACAGACCTGAGACACTACATGCCTCTCCCTCACCATGCCTGGGCTGCTTTCCTCCTCATGCAGCATTAATATGGCAGTGAGGACTTTTGGTGTGGTTTTTTTCACGGCCTGGCAATGGCTGGAAGGTGTGTGTCCCTGCAGGCTGGCCTGGAAAAGAAGGTCTGAGAACACAGAGCTGCGCTGGAACTGGCACCACTGTACTGCATGGTGCTGTGTACTTCCAGCTGGCCCAGGAAATAACACAGCCGCTGCAACTCAGAGCCCTCTAACGTGCTCTTGGTGATCTTCTCTGCTACCTTTTGAGAAGTATTTGAGAAGTATTGAGAAGTATTGAGAAGTACTGCAGCTTTACTGATGCAGAGCAGTGACCGAGCAGCCAGGGGAATGAGACAAGGGTGGAAAATGACTGCAGGCATGTATTAAAGTATTCAGCTTGTCCAGCTGAAAGAGATTTCTGCCAAACGATTTTATAAGGAATGAGGCATTTTGCAGGAAAAGCAGGGCCTCTCCTCTCATTTCCTTTCTCTTCTTCTCTATGAACTTCAAAGACAAGAGGGGTCAAAACAGAGGCCAGGCAACTGAAACCGAGTTCCTGAGCCCTAAAGCCTAATTAGTCCAAGATACATTTCATTGGGTATCTTTCTGAGACTGACCTAAATTGCCAATCCTCCCTGCTGTGCTGCTGAGGGTCAAATAAAGCCAGAGTGTGGTCCACAGTTTGCGAAGCCCCAGCAGCACCAGAGCTCTTGCAAGGGTGGGGGTGAGGTCTCCGCCCAAGTCCCACTTCTGACAAGGCCCTCCCAGCCCCTACAAGCTTTCTGTGACCACAGCTAAACCCGCTTCTCCAGGACAGGGATCAGTCCACCTCCATGGTGCGTTGTCCCAGGGCTGATAGTGACCGCAGCCCACTAACATCCCCCGCAGCTGTGTGGCCGCTGCCCCTCATTGCTTCAGCCGAGGCTATCAAAGAGCCTTCAGCCATTTGGAATTGCCCTTCAGCAGTTTTAGGCTGATGTTAAAGCCCCTCCTGCCTCACCTCCTCCAAGCAAGCTGCCAGCTCCTGCCAGCTCAGCCTGCAGGCCACGTGCCCCATGCTCTTTCCTGCCTTGCAGTTGTTTGCTAGATCCCCCTCCAGCTTCTCCACATCCTTCCCAGACGGATACCCAGAAAAAGGGATAGTTATGTCCCTTTATCTGTGGCCCAGCATGTGGTCTGCCTCACCCGAAATGACAAACAAAGTCGGTTTTGCACAGGTTTAACAACTCTCTGGAACCACACCCCGATTTCAAATCACAGTGTCTCTGCAAGACACTGCTCTTGGGGTGGTTTTTTTATTAATTTCTTTTTTTAGGGGGGCCCACGAAAAGTATTCTCAAGAACAGAGAAACAGAAACCACACAGGCTCTTTCCCTTGCACAGCATCTCTCAAGAGGCTGGCCTCAGAGGCATGCATCTTATTTTGAGACTACAGTAAATGCACTTTGATGGAAGGATTCCTTTCCGGCCTTGTGGTCTGAAAGCTGAGAAAAGCAAAACTCCCAGTGCAGGTCACTAGAGTAATTCCAAGAGCAGGGAAAGGGCGTCATTGTCACTGTAAGCTTATGTGGCCTCCTGGTGCCATAGCACAGCTCTGGAACATAGGACTGGACAGGCTGTCTTGTGAGGAAGCAGACAGTGGCACATGAAGGCAGATGGCTGTCTGGCAGGGAACGTGGTGATGTCCTCATGGATGTGGGGTGGGCTGTGATTCTTCTCTCCATCTGCTCCATGGATCCTGCTGCCCAGCCACTGCAGATTGGTGACTTGGTCAACATAAGGCACGGCTCACTCCTGGCTTGGTGCTCAAGCTGCTCTCACAGGAATCTGAAAAATATTTTATTAAATATTTTATTAGATTTTCTGCCAGAAAAAAAGGTAAACTTATTCCCTTAAAAATAAAAAGTTTTGATTCCAAGGCACTTGCTCAGCTTCCATTTAAAGAGTGGGTCTGTGGCTGATGAGGCTTGGATTCAGCTCCAGTGTACTGCAGATACCTGTGCTGCCTAACTGCAGCAAGACTGTTTATCTGTCTTTGCATCCATTTCCCAGTGGAGCCAAAATATAAAATGGAAACCTTTCCTTCCCTTATGTAATGCTCTGCTAGAGCTGGCATCCTGTGAGTGTTGGCTAGAAGGATCTCTGGAGGTCTCCAGTCTCCAGACGCTGGACTGCTGCCAGCACCAGATTAGATTGGCCGTAGCTGTGTCTAGCCACAAAGTTGAAGTCTGCTTCTCATGTGCTTGCACAGCACTTGGATTGAGTTCATGGAAAGCACAGGAAGATTCACCTGGAGTCTCCCCGCCCCTCTCTGCATCTCTTTGGGAAGGAAGGCCAGAGAGGGTATATAAATCAACATCCATCCAGTCTGTTAGCATCTTTACCTCTCAGAAAAATACCATCCTGAGGACTGGGATGGTGCAGGACCAGGTAGCCTGACTGTTTGGTTTTTTCTGCTAGAGGCCAGTAACACTGCAGGGAGGGCAGGCAAGAGAGCACCAGCTGAATTTACTGAGGAATCGAGCCAGATTCCTGTGTGCTGCCAGCACAAAAATAGCTGCCATCTTTGGATTTTATGGCTTTGCTTTGTTACAGTCTGGATCAGACTTGTTTTCAGAACAACCTTCAGCCCACATAAGTACACCTGTCATTGAAAACAAATTTGCCTGGAATAATTTAACCAATACTTTCCTGCAGTAATCCCTGCACCTCTGTACAAGCAGTTAAACAAACTAGTTGGGATCACACAGAGGAAACAACAGCATACAAAATGTTAGCCGCGTGCCTCACTCACTATTTTTTCAGCTTCATGCTATTGGATTACTTTCTTAAGTGCTCTGGGGACAGAGACAGTGAAGAACAGCTTTCCTTGGCAGTTTCTCACACACGGCTCTATTTTCCATGGCTCATCCAGCAAAATGTACACGCCTAAAAAAAACAGCAAGAAACAATCCCATCCAAGATGGGACGAGTACTGTGGATTTCACACCCCCACGCCCTGGCAGTCTAGCACTGGTATCGGGGCATTTACTGGGAGCAGGTGACAAGTGTGCCATGCCAGGGAAAGGCGAGCAGCAAGATCCTCAGTGCTGCCCAGGGAGCGAGGAGCTCCTTTCCTGACAAGGCCACCTAACATGCAGGCAGGCATCTTACATGCAGCCAGGAAAGACACAGTCAGTTTTATCCATCCTGTAGCATTAACCAGAGCTTCAAGACTTCTGGCCTCAGTCGGAGTCCAGCAGAGCACGATGGACTGCCACAGCCACCCTGTGTGTGTTTAAAGGACAGTTGTCTTCTCATGCCCCATCCCCGTGCCACTGGAGGGCTCTGCCTGGTAGAGCAGTTATTTTTTTAATTCTTAGTCCATAAATAAAGGAAGTAAGTCATGCTATTAATTTCCTTACTCGTGAGATACTACTTCGTGTACTGTCATTCTTTCATACATGACCACACTCTTGAAATGCAAAGCTCACAATAGCTTATTAAGACTTGCAAGCTGCAAGTAATACCCCTGACTTGCACCTGCAAACCTGCACGTGCAAAGCAGCAGGAGGACAAGGAACTGTTCCATGTCCATGCCAGGATGCATGACCTGCAGCCCAACATGTCTGTGTCACCACAGGGAATCCTCTGAGATCCCAATGAACGAAAGACAGAGGGTGCAATCACAGAATCAATTAGACTGGAAAAGACCTCTCAGATCTCTTGAGTCCAACCTGTGACTGAACACCACCATGTCCACTAGACCACGGCACTAAGTGCCATGTCCAGTCTTTCCTTAAACACCTCCGAGGACGGTGACTCCACCACCTCCCTGGGCAGCCCATCCCAATATCTGATCACCTTTTCTGTGAAATTCCTCCTGATGTCCAAACTAAACCTCCCCTGATGCAGCCTGGGGCTCTGTCCTCTCATCATGTCACTAGTTACCTGGGAGAAGAGACTGACCCTCACCTGGCTTTAACCTCCTTCCAGGTAGTTCTAGAGAGCAATAAGGTCACCCCTGAGCAACATTTTCTCCCACCTGCCTCAGCTGCTCCCTATAGGATTTGTGCTCCAGACCCTTCCCCAGCTCTGTTGTCCTTCTCTGGACCTGCTCCAGCACCTCAAAGTCCTTCCTGAACGGAGGGGCCCAGACCTGGACACAGAACTCGATGTGCGGCCTCACCGGGGCCAAGAACAGGGGGCAATCCCTGCCCTGGCCCCGGCGGCCACAGTATTCCTGGTTCAGGCCAGGATGCCACTGTCCTTCTGGCCCATCTGGGCACGCTGCTGGCTGATGTTCAGCCGGCTGGCGCTGTGCTGCAGCTCGGTGGGAGGCAGCGGGACCGCCCGCCTTCCCGGACCGTGTCCTCGCCCCGGCGGCCGCGCCGGGAGCCCGCCGCGGTGCGCGCCACGCGGCGCCAGGGGGGCGCCAGAGGGCCGCCGCCACAGCTAGGGGCTGTCCGCGCGCGGGCCCCGGCCCCGCCAAGTGATGTCATCGGCGTCGGCGGGGGAGGGCCCCCGCGGGGCTTGAAAGCGCGAAGGTCTGGCGGAGAGTGAGTTAGGGACGCCTGGCGGAAAACGGATAGGACGCCTGGCGGAAGTTGCTGGACAGAAGGCCTTGTGCGGCGGGGTGGGGGGGGGCGGCGCAGCAGCAGCGCATCGGGCGGTAGCGACAGTATCGGCGTTAGCGGCAGCGGCAAGAAGCGGCAGCAGCGCTCAGATGTCGATTTGAAATCGAGTCCCTCCGAGTACGATGTGGCGGCGAAGGGGGGGTGGGCGGCGGCGAAGCGGGGGAGGGGGGGCGACGGCGAAGGGGGGAGGGGGGGGCGACGGCGAAGAGGGAGGGGGGGGCGAAGCGAAGGGGGGGGGCGACGGCGAGGGGGGGGCGACGGCGAGGGGGGGCGGACGGCGAAGAGGGGGAGCGACGTGAAGGGGGGGCGACGGCGAAGAGGACGGGAGCGACGCGCGAAGGGGGGGGCGACGGTGAAGGGGGGGGCGACGGCGAAGGGGGGGGGCGGCGGCTTAAGAGGGCGAGGGAGGGGCGAACGGCGAAGAGTGGGGGGGCGACGGCGCTGGGAGGGGGGGCGGCGGCGCGGGGAGGGGGGGCCGGTGCGTGCGGGGGCGCAAAGGGGGGGTTGGCGGCCACGGCCTCGGCGGCCCCGTGTGCGCCATGCCCGGTCTGAGCGCTCACTGTGCCGTTCCCCACAGCGTGATCCGGCTCATCATGCAGTACCTGAAGGAGAACAGCCTCCACCGGGCGCTCGCCACCCTGCAGGAGGAGACCACCGTGTCCCTCAACACCGTGGACAGTATCGAGAGCTTCGTGGCGGACATCAACAGCGGGCACTGGGACACGGTGCTGCAGGCCATACAGTCACTGAAGCTGCCTGACAAGACCCTTATCGACCTCTACGAGCAGGTGAGTGAGCACGGGGCTCGTACCGGCTCTTCAACCCGCATGGGAGTCTCTGTGGTGTTCTCCATGCTAATACAGACGTGTCTCTTGGTGCAGGTTGTACTGGAGCTGATCGAGCTCCGGGAACTGGGGGCTGCCAGGTCCCTGCTGAGACAGACAGATCCCATGATCATGCTGAAACAAACCCAGCCTGAGCGCTACATCCACCTGGAAAACCTTCTGGCCAGGTCCTACTTTGATCCTCGTGAGGTATGTTGTGCTCTCTTAGAGACTTCTGCTCTCCTGCACGACCCCCAGCGTCAGCCCAAGTCGCTGATGGCTCAGGGAGTCTCTTTTCCTTATCTCTGGGAGTGAGAACCTGCCTGCAGTTTCCCAGTTTGAAGACTTTATGTGTTTTATGAAGTGTTAAGGAACTGGTGCTTGGCACTTGATCATGAGACAGCACCAGAGCAGTGGGAGTTCTGGGGTGTATACATGTGTCCTGCCACAGGATGACATCTGTACTTTGCTTTTTCTGTCTTATGTAGGACAGCAGAAAAAAAGGCACCTTGTGCCAACAAAAATACTACTGTATAGTAGCAAGGCGTTATTTCTTACTGGTTATTTCAGTCTGATGATGTCAGTCTGACATTTTTGGTGAAGGCCTGTTAGGTTATTGGCTAACTGGGTTAGTGGATTGATCCTGGAGGTCTTTTCCAACCCTGAGAATTCTATGATTCTGTAGCCTGAGTGTTTCAAGGGCGGGTATTAAAGAGAAGAGAGTTTTGGAGGTCTGGTGGAAAATCGATATGGAAGGGGCTTCGATTCAGAGCAACAGAGGTTTTTGCGGAAAAAAATAATTATGCTTTGGAATAATCACCTCATAAAAACAACTTCTCTCTAGGCATACCCAGATGGGAGCAGCAAAGAGAAGCGGAGAGCTGCTATTGCACAAGCTTTGGCTGGAGAAGTCAGTGTGGTGCCTCCATCCCGTCTCATGGCACTGTTGGGGCAGGTAAGTCTTGGAAAAGTATTTCAGTAGCTGTGTCAGCTCCCTTAGATCTCTGCTGCAGAAAACTAGCTATGGTGTAGTTGAGTTTCCAACCCTGTAAAAGTAAGGCTCAGATGTTACGCATATACATGTGGTAAATTTAAATGTGGTAAATAGTTAAAAATTAAATTTTTCCCATGTCGCAAGGATTTAGCTGTTGTAGGAAAAGTCATCACTCGAACAGTAGATTTCTTCCAACAGAATAAATATTCAGCACATAGAATGCACTTTGAAAATAACATTCTATAACACACACACTGTTCCTGTTGTGCTTTCAGCCCATTTTTGGTTCTCAGAATGTTTTTGTTGATACTCTGTGCAGACAGTATTTCATATATCGTGTGTCTGTGTTAACTGATACCTAATGCTGATGTCTTACAACTCTTTTAAAGGCACTGAAATGGCAGCAGCATCAGGGCCTGCTTCCTCCTGGCATGACAATTGACTTGTTCAGAGGCAAAGCAGCTGTGAAAGATGTAGAAGAAGAAAAGTTCCCCACACAGCTGAGCAGGCATATTAAGGTGATGTATTTCCTTTTATGTATGTTACTGCTACTTGTTCCTTCCTGTGCTTTATGTTGGAAGATAAGGGTAAATCATCTGAATTCTTCTGTTCTTTTTGTTGTAAGTCATCTCCCCCCTCCTTTTCCCCTCCCCATTTCTACTCCATGCTTTATCTCATCGGGAGACTTTCCTTCATGAGAGTCTGAGATGAGGTCTTTTAACAGGATTGAGTGCTTGTGGTATTTGTGATTAAGATAAATGTGCTGTTTCTTTGGCTTCACAGTTCAGAATCAATCAGTTTCCAGAAGTTGGCATAGTCTCCTTCTTTGTCTGTGCAAGGAAATACTTGTATCTTAAACTGTTTTTTAGAAGCCACGAGTCAGAACTTGTGAAATCAATTTGTGGTGTTCAGTAACAGCTTTATTAGAACTTGTTTTGTTTACCAGTGCTGATCTTGTATTTTTATTTTGATTAGTGAAGACTTTTTTTTCTATATTCAGTTGTCATGGTCACTTGTATTTAAAAACTTGGAAATTTAAAAATTGGATATAAAAAAATATCAAACATTCCCTGTAAAAATTACACTGAAGAAACATCACTCCAAGTGAAGCAATGCTCCTTGTACTAAGGAGCATTAAATTTGTGAGTGCATACCTGTACAAAATGCTGCATTTTTACCATCAAAATGAGACTACAGTTTTGTTTTAATGAGTTGTTCCTTTTAAGTCGCTTATCAAGTTTTGCTTATATTCTTCTATAAAACAGTTTGGGCAGAAGTCGCACGTGGAGTGTGCTCGGTTTTCTCCAGATGGACAGTACCTGGTTACTGGCTCTGTCGATGGCTTCATTGAAGTGTGGAACTTCACTACTGGGAAGATTAGGAAGGTAAGTTGCTCCTTATTTCACACGAATGGTTCATTTGTCAGAGCACCTGAATTTACTCTTTGAGATTTTGTTTATTTTCATTTGTCAGGGAATTTGAACCTGAGAAGGTTGTCTGCTTAGGCGATTCACATATCAGTCTGGAACACTTACATGGGTTTAACTGTTTGGTCTGTCACAGATTTCCCTCTGTGATAAATTTTTTACTTCTCTGCATCACTGTTGTTGCCTTTGAATCCTGCATTACAAAGCTGTGAAGTCTGTTTGACGATAGGTTATAAAATATAACTGTAAGTTAAAACTGCTGTACTTTTGTACTTTGCCTTAAAATAGACATCTTCTGCTTTTGTTTAGGATCTGAAGTACCAGGCACAAGATAACTTTATGATGATGGATGATGCAGTGCTGTGCATGTGCTTCAGCAGAGATACAGAAATGCTAGCAACTGGAGCACAGGACGGAAAGATCAAGGTACAGATCTTTTTGTACTGTATATTGGGAGAGACGGTGACCAAAAAGATTACTTTGCAATTGCAGGAACGTTGCCATCCCATATAATAATAAATGAAGTTTGACATGGCTCAGAAACAGATATGTATATTGGCTTTGGTGTTTAAGCTTCTGTGACCTCATAGCAGAGTAACCACTTTTATTTCATTTGCTCTTTTCCTCTTCAGGTGTGGAAAATCCAGAGTGGTCAGTGCCTGAGAAGATTTGAACGAGCACACAGTAAAGGTGTTACATGCCTCAGTTTCTCTAAAGACAGCAGCCAGATTCTTAGTGCTTCTTTTGATCAGACAATCAGGTAAATAAACTGAGAAAGTGTGAACTACAGTGGGGGAGAAATGAAAACAGAATTTTCACATTAAGCAGCTAAACTATAAAATAATTTAATTTAGAAGGTACCTGTACAGGTCTTTAGTCCGCTAAGCTTCTCAAAGTGCAACAAGCCTTTCACTTAGGGTGGTTTGCTCAGGGCCTTGTCCAGCTGAGTTTTCAAGATCTCTGTGGTTGAAGACCCTATTGCTCCTATTGCTTTTCTTGGAATCTGTCTAGGGCTCTACAGTTCTTTTGGGGAAAATCCTGTTTGGAAATAGGAAAAAATGTTTTGGGTTGGTTTGATAATGATTTTTTTTTTTTCCTTTTTAACATGTATCTTTTACCTTTTGTACTTCAGCCGTGGGCCTTTGAGAAGAACTTGACTCTGTTTATTCTTTAAAAACATGTTGGATAGTGATGTTAAGCAAATAGTTATAAAAACTCTGTTCTAATCTTAAGTTACCAGGCAGCAGCAACCTCATCAAACCCTTTTTCCTGCAACTTTTAGCACCTCGGAGGTGTTGCTTAATGTTTGTGTAATGCAGTGGTTCTGATCTTGTGCCTACTTGGTGTCTTGTTACTGAGTGGAATTTACTCACTGGTTTGCACCTGTGTTTTCTGACAGGATTCATGGTTTAAAATCTGGGAAAACTTTAAAGGAATTCCGTGGTCATTCCTCCTTTGTCAATGAAGCTACTTTTACCCAGGATGGCCACTACATTATCAGCGCCTCCTCTGACGGCACAGTGAAGGTAAGATAGCATTTACCCTTTGTGAATAACACATTCAGGCTCTTGCTTTCTTCTAGCTGATTTGTTGTAGTTGCTGCAGTCTCTGGAGAAGAACTTGGGGTTACTTGCAGTAGAGAGTCTGCTTGTGACCTGCACTCTAGATTTGTGTGAGCACTGATGGCATCTCATGCTGTGCTTACAGTCTGTTGCAGAGCCCGTCTCTGCTGCATTTGTGAAAGGGGGGCAAAAGTGCAGGACTTATCTGCCTGTTCTCCTTTATTCTAGACATAGAGTTGACTGTGATACCTCTTGTCCTAGGACCTGGGGATTCCCTTCTCTGGAATAGTTGTATTTTCTTACTGTGTTGGTCACCTGTTTGTTTCTTGTTGCTTAGGAGCCCCTTGCTGTGTAAACTGGGTAATTTGACATCAGTGAAGCTGATGACAGGTCTGGCTTTTAGTCTCAGGAAAGAGTGAAAGTGCACAGTGTGTAGTAGTTAAGAGGAGTAAAGCATTATTGCATAGAGGGTATTACTCACTTATTTGGTTAATGTAGTTGTTTCTGTATTTATTTATTAAGTAGAGCATCGATGTAGTGCACTGAGGGTGGGCAAACAGATCCTGTTCGTAGATGTGCCCAGGAAACTGTGATAGGTTTGCTCGTATCAAATGGAATGTTACTTCAGACTGGCACCCTTTGCTTGACTGCCCCAGTCATGGGAATAGCGTAAGAAGGTGGTTTCTTTTGATTGTACTAGTAGGTAAACAGCACAAATATTTCACAGATGATGAATTTTAAATATTAAACATTTTAAATATTAAACAAGTAGTTCTGTTTCCTGTTTCTAAACAGCTGGTGTTGAGCCTGAGGCAGCTGTAAGCTGGGATGTCCCTCTCAGTAATAGCAGTGAGGCTTTGCTTTGTCTGCAGTTTTCATGTCAGTCTTGTGTAAAGCAGATTGCATGTGCAGAGGTTACTCATATATTCACAGATACCAGCTAAATGCAGAAAGGATGTCTGGATTCACCCCTTAGGGAATATGCTTAAAGTAAGGGAGCCAGGTAGAATTTGGGTAATGGAAATTCACCTACAGTTCAGTTGTAGTGAAGTTAGTCGTGGTGTTCACACTTCATAATAGATGTGATAACTTTCTTTCTCAAATTCTGCATTAGATTATAACTTTTGGAATTCATATTTCCCTCCAGGAGCCTTAGAAATTCTGAATTCTGTATTAGCTCATTCTTGTTTTAATTTTTTAAAGCTAATTGGTTTTATGTTTGTTTTTAAAACTAGGTTTGGAATGTGAAGACAACAGAGTGCTCAAACACCTTCAAGTCTCTTGGCAGCACTGCTGGGACAGACATTACTGTGAACGGTGTCATTCTGCTGCCTAAAAACCCGGAACACTTTGTTGTTTGCAACAGATCAAATACAGTTGTCATCATGAATATGCAAGGACAGGTATGTGACCTTACTGGCATTCTTTAAAGTTTCTCTGTCATTTCTAGAATGCAGAAAACCCCGGTTAATAACCTAGTGTTGGGTTAAACCTGATCTCTCTGGTTTGCTTTCTGGACAAACTATTCTGTACTCAGTTTATAGAATGCAGAAAGCACTTTTAGCTGTGGAGAGATCTTGTGTTCTAAGCAGACTTAGTACTGCTTAAATATTTTTACCCTGAATAGAGTAATGGTGCTGCTGTTTAATCCTGGCAATTATTTCTTGGGGGGGTGTCTTTACAGATTGTAAGAAGCTTTAGCTCTGGTAAGAGAGAAGGTGGTGACTTTGTCTGCTGTGCACTTTCCCCTCGCGGTGAATGGATCTACTGTGTTGGTGAAGATTTCGTGCTTTACTGCTTCAGCACAGTGACCGGCAAGCTGGAGAGAACTCTGACTGTAAGTTTTTAGCTTTGAACTTTTGCAGAGTTTAAACACAAGGAGGATGTAACTATTCACCATGACTTCCATAAAGAGTACTCTCAGACCAAGGAAACAGCCGCAATTGGTAACAAACATATTGCAGAACATTTGGCTGTAGAACGTGTTTGGTTTTGTAGAACCATTTGATTGTAAAAGTTAGAAAAATATTTACCCACCAGGCCAGGAGCAAATTGGGTCAAACCTATTTGAATGAGAGCATGTGTTGTCCTGGGCTCCAGCTGGGGGAGGATCTGACCAAGCTGTCAGATGTAAAGCTATCAGGCTGAAATTTGGCTTGGATTGAACTAAAAAGGAATACCAGATTGAATGTCTGAATTTGACAAGGAACACTTAAAATTTGGGGATTTCTGTGGATGTAAGCTTTCACTGAACCTCCCCTTGCCCAGCAAAAAGTAACTGCCATGTCACAAAAATTGTTGTGACTGGAATTTGTTGTTGGGGGGTATGTTAAAACTCAGTCCAGCTTTGCTCTAGTTCTTGTTTGAAGAGAATATCTGCCTCGAATCTGCTAAAGGAAGACTCTTTTGACGCATCTTTCTGCTTATTCTCTAGGTTCATGAAAAGGATGTCATTGGCATTGCTCATCACCCCCACCAGAACCTGATTGCCACTTACAGTGAAGATGGCCTCCTCAAGCTCTGGAAGCCATAGATGGGTGTCACAGCGAGCTCTGAAGCGTGCCTGTTAGTCACGGGTTATTGGTGTTTGTGCTTTAACAAGATCTAAATGTGCAGAGTATGATACTTGCTCAATTTTTAGTTAGGGTTTCCAGAGAAATGCTTAAATACGGCATTGCTTAATTTCATATACTTATTTTTATCAGAGTAGTCAAAGTGACTTTGGTGAGAGTGCTTTTGTGTCTCCTGAACTCTGTACTCTTCCTACAATGTTTGTAAAAGTTGAATGAGCCAGGAAGTAGGCACACTTATGAGTGGTTGCTGACTTCCTAAAATACAGCAAAATGTATTGTTGTTTTTTTTTTTTTAAATTTGAGTGAAATGTGGAGTGGGAAAGCTGTTTCTTTCACACTGATGAAACATAAGCATAGTTTTTCTGGAATGCACATGAGGCTACACTTCAGCTTGAAGGCAAGGCCATTTCTAGTTCATTGGGTTTTGCTGTGTTCAATTTTCACTATCATTTTTCCAATTATATTGGAAAGTAGTGTCACACAGCTTTCTCAGAATGAAACTATGCTTCCCCATCTGCCAGCACTTCCTACTGTAAACTATAAACTTGCCTGATCTGGCAGTGAAATACAGTTGGTTTTGTTTTGTTTTGTTTTGTTTTTCCTTTTGTTTTATTTCACTTCTAGATTAAAAGGTATAAATACTCTCTTCCTGTAAGTGCAAAATGTCTTCAGACCAGTTGTAACTGAAACAGACTTTAGGGGATCAATATTTTAAAACATGCAAAAGTTGGTTTACATAGGCTGAGTTCCTAGTGCTATGATAACGCTTTTCATAATTATTTGTAAGATTTTCTTTTTTTCAATTTCATATGCCTGTGGACCTAGTCAAAGTGATACTTAGGTCCCACAGATAAAAAGACACTTTCAGGTTCTTCATATGCTCAGTTTGGAGCAAATGAGTTTATGATTTGAGATCCTGTCTAATGCACGCTGTTGTGAGTGTACACCAGAATCTGACCATGTCTTTTCTACGATGCAGAAGATGAGGTTTCTCCTGTAATGATGAGTGAAACGCTTGTAGGTGTGAATCTGCTGTGCTGTGCTCTGTCCTCATCTCTTGTAGAATGCTTTCCTGCCACAGTAATCTTTCAAACAGTGATGATTTCTGTTTGATTAAATAAATTAGTTCCAATTCAAGTATTTTGTCTATGTCTATAGTGGTCCAGGGAATGCAGAAAAAGTTCAGCTGGAATTCTCACGTAGCATTGCTTGTTCAGTGCACTAATTAAACTGTAGTGTTTAGTTCTCTGTTTAGCTGTGATGTTTTAATTCCCAAGTTGTTTTTTTTACTTCCTTAAATACATCAATAGAGGGTTTTTTTAGATAGCAAAAAGTGATTATTTTTCCTGCCTGAAAAGACAGAAATATCTAACAGTGATGCATCTGACAGGCTCCATTGGCAATTAGTACTTTTGATACAGAAGATCTTGACAAAATATTTTTAATACTAGCTAACTTGTGGTTCATTTTGTCTTCAGATTACACAGAACTGCTAATCCTCAATGAAAACTGTATCTTACATTGTTCTCTAAGAGAAAAGTAGTTACAGCAAATAAAACTGTCAGAATTTTAGTGTTTAAAGGTTGAAATACATTCTCTAGCTTAGAAATGTAAGAAACTCTGGCCTTTCTTATGCTTTTCTTTGAAGAGTTTCAGTTTATTGCATTAAATACTCAAGACAAAAGGGGGATTTTTATGAGTACTTGTGAAAGGGCAGTGGTAAAACTTATTTCCTGGGCTATAGCTGTAATTTGTAAAATAGCTGACAGTTGACACAAAAATGTAGTCTTACTCTTGAAAATGTGAATTTTTTTTTTTTTTAATTAAAACGGAATTTTTTTAAAGTAAATGTTAGTTTTTTTAAATCTAGGAAGACATTTTCTCTCTGGACAACCACCCGGGTGTTATGCCACTTACCTCTCTGTAAGACTAGAACAAGGCAACATCTAGTGCTTTGACTCACATTAAAGAAAACATTGTTCACCCGTGGGCTTTGCTTTGTTCTTGAATTGTTTTGTTTGGAAACGTCAAGTTCTGTCATACACAGAGAAGTGCAAAATGTCGGGGTGGGGGGGAGTTGTGCCATGTGGTGAATGTCCTCCAAATATTTCCTTGAACGAGGCAGCAGAACTAACTCCCCACACCTCCCGAAGGGAACGGAGATAACGGCAGGTCGGAGCAGCAGGCCCTGGCCTATACAAGCAAAAACCGTCTACAGAGAGACCTGTCACCTTCAGCCACTGGAAGAGTGAAGAGAGTGAACTCTCTCGTCTGCACCTTTTTACATGTTGTGTTACGGAAAGGGATGATATGGAATACTTCCTTAGATCTCTGACCCCGTTGCTAAGGAAGGCCTAAAAAATCCAAAAAAACAACCCCACTACGTTCTCCACCCCTTATTCCATATCATTTCTTTATATAACACTTATATCTCACTCGTTTTTTTGGTTTGTTTTTTTTTTTTTACTGTCAAAAACGGCTAATGGAAAAAGAAAATAAACATTAGATATGAAGACATGAAGTCCTGGGTTTGTTTCACTCCCGTCCCCGTGCTAGCGAGGTCAAATAGAGCACAATGAGAAGTGCAAAGGGATACAAAAGAATAGCTGTGTTCTTCCAAAGGGCAATGTATCCTAGGAATGTCACATAGATATAATAGCTGATGGCAATTATTACGAGCTTGACATCCACAAACAAAAATCAAACCCTCCCTAGTGAAATCTGGGGAGACCACCTGAAAACGGAAGACTTGATCTCAACAGCAGTGGATTCGTTGTGAATGTCTTGTAAAGCAGGTGAATTCTCACGAAGCCTGAGAGAGTAGATGGCCTCCAGGATTGCCTGTCAGCCCTCATGAATCTCTGATCCTGTGTTTTGCAGGGTGTTTTGAGCCAGGACCCTCAGTAAGAGGGCCTGCCTCTGATGTGAGTCATCTTGACAGGACCAGTGTTCAATTTGTGTGAAAAAAAAAAAAAAAAAGAAAAGATGTTGCATAGATTTATAGGAAAAATGATGCCAGCAGTCAGCTATAAATACTTTTTGCATGCAGCTTTTCTTCACTTTCTGCCTAGTCTGTGTGGGTTTTGGGAGTCCTTAAGCATGGTTACTCCAGCTCCAGCTCCTGTTGATGGTATGGGCCCCCGTATGTTCACTGGGTAGTTGTAAATAAACCCTATGACCTTCTGGGCCATGACGACTCGTGAAAGACAGGCTGAGCAAACTTGGGTCTCACTATCAGGAAAAAAAGCACAGGCTTTAGGTGAATCCTAGGGAGAAAGGTGGTTAAATGCTTTATTTTGGGGGCAGAGTAGGAGTTATGGGAATTCTTTGACTCCTCATGGAGCAAGAGGTGGAGGCATAACAATTTTATTTTAACAGGTACTTGTACCATGAAAAAGAGTAATTAAGCTGTCCTAGTTAGAACAGCTGGGGCCGATTCATCACTGGATGGGTGTAGCCCAAAACTGTGTATTCTATGGCCCTCCATGCCATTTCCCAGAAACTGTTGTCGGGGGGAGGGGGAGGGCTGCCTGTGGGGGGGATGTTCCTGTCCTCATACCCTTTTATGGAATTCCCCGCTCTGAGGGAACGACTGACCATTCCTTTTATGGAATTCCCCGCTCTGAGGGAAGGATTGACCATTCCTGCCTGAACTGGATAATATATAGACCTGGAGTTTCAGAACCTTTCCACCACTCCTGGGATCCAGAGGAAGATTACAGCTCACCGCTCTCAACCAGACTGAGACCACCACCCTCAGCTGGACTGCAATCACCACTTTGACCAGACTGCAACAGCTCTCCCACCAGCAGGTTTTTCCCCTCTCCCTTTACTGTGGACTCAAGGGGGGCCCAAGGAACACCACTTTGTTCATGCCCCAGGGTGCTGGGTTATACATTTGGGGTTTGTGGGTTAAAACCAATTGTTTGTTTGTATAATTGTACTTACTGTATTATTTTAATAAATTGTTATTCTGATTTATAATCTCTCTTTTGAGTTGAGTTCATTTTCCCTGCTGGTTAACTCTTAAACCAGCACAGAAGCCCTCTTCAGTTTCTTTATTTCCCCTAGTGTATAAACCTTCTCCCTGTGTAGTAACAAATTCTTTTGATAACTGCCTTTGTTGGGCAGGAAATGGCATTTGCTTGTCTGGGAACAGGCATGTGCTGTTGGAAGCTAGTTAAGCCTTTCCTGTCTTCCCAAATTAGAAGTAAATGTTCTTGCAAGTTTTATTCACAGAACGACAGGATGTCTGATGTTGGAAGGATGGAGACTCTACCACTTCCCTGAGCAGCCTGTACCAGTGCCCAGTCACCCCCAGTAAAAAGAGTTCCCAAATACTCAGAGGAAACCGCCTGTGTTTCAGTCTATTCCCGTTGCCTCCTGTCACTGGGTACTGCTAGTCAGAGCCTGTTCTTCTTTGCACCCTCCCTTCAGGTATTTCTGCACATCAGTGAGATTCCCCTTGAGTCTTCTCCAGGCTGAACAGTCCTAGACCTCTTAGCCTTTCCCCATAACAGAGATGGTCCTGTCCCTTCAGCATCTTTGTGACCCTTTACTGAACTCTCTCCAGTACAACAAGGTCCCTCTTGTATTGGGGAACTCAAAACCAGACACACATTCCAGATATGGCCTAGCCCTTGCTGAGTAGATGGGAAGGATCACCTCCCTCTACCCGCTGCCAACAAGGACAGCATTAGTCTTCTTTCCAAAAAGGGCACATTACTTGTTCATGTATGACCTTGGTGTCCACCAGGACGCCCAGGTTCCTTCTCTGCTGCTTTACTTTCCATGAGTCTTTGGGCACTTCTCCCAGATACCATGATCAATCAAAGATTGTCAAGAGGGGCCTTGCAATGACATCTGCCACTCCCACAGCACTTGTGGGTGCATCCCACTGGGGCCCGTGGACATGTGTTTGTCCAGTTTCCTAGGTCTTCTGTGACCTATCCTCTTCCACCAGGGGTACCTCATCCTTGCTCCAGATTTTTCCCTTGGTCTCTGGAACCTGGGATTCTCTGAGGGCCCATGTAATCAGTAAGACTGAGGTAAAGAAAATATTCAGTACTTCAATCTTTTCTATGTCCTGTGTGACCAGATGCCCCACCTAATTCAGTAACAGACCCACATTTTCCCTACTCTTTCTCACTTTTGTACTTACAGAGGCGCTTGTTGTCTTTGATGTCCCTGACCAGATTCAGCTCCAGTTGAGCTTTAACTTTCATAGTTTCATCCCTGGATGCCCAAACAACATATTGGTGCTCCTCCCCACTCAACTCAACCCTGGTTACTCATCCTCCAGATGATTCCTTTTTATGTAGCCAGGAGTTCCTTGTGCATCCACACAGACCTCCTGCCATTTTTGCCTCACTTCCTGTTCACTGGAAGGGACTGCTCTTGAGCCTATGAGAGGTGAACCTTGAATATTAACCAGCTTTCTTGGGCCCTTCTTCACTCCAGAGCCTTATCCCTCGGGGTACTTCCAAAGCAGATCTTCAGAGAGACCAAAGTCTGCTCTCCTGGTCCAGAGCTGAGAACTTGCATTTTATCCTCTTCCTTCGTTTCAGGATTCTGAACCCCCCCAGCTCATGGTCATTGCAGCCAAGGCTGCCTTTGATCTTGACAATCCCAACAAGCCCTTTGTTTTTGAGTATGAGGTCCAACAGAGCACCACTCCTCGTTGGTTCCTCTGTCACTTGGGTCAGGAAGTTTTCATTGATGCACTCCTGAACTGATTATCACAGAATTTTTAGGGTTGGAATGGACCTCTGGAGATCATCTAGTCTTCCCCCCTTCCCTGCCAAGGCAGGGTCACCTAGAGCAGGTGGGTTTTGAATGTCTTCAGAGAGGCAGACTCCATGATCTCCCTGGGCAGCCTGTTCCAGTGCTCTGCCACCCTCGATGTAAAGAAGTTCTTCCTCATGGTGAGGTGACCTCAGCCTATCCTCACATGGCTTCCTCTCAAGGCCCTTCACCATCTTCATCGCCCTCCTTTGGATATTCTCTAGTAGCTTAATATCTTTCTTATATTTTGGCACCCCAAACTGCACACAATATTCAAGGTGAGGCCGCCCCAGGTCAGAGCACAGTGAGACAATCCCCTCCCTCGACTGGTTGGTGATGTTTTGCTTGATGCCCCCCAGGACATGTTTGGCCCTCCTGGCTGCCAGAGCACAGTGGGTAATTCTCACCCATAAACTCTCAACTGGTTTATCTGTCCCTGGGTAGAGTAAGTTTATCATCTCACCTCTGACTTACCATTTCTAAAAAGTACATACTCAACCATGACAACATTCCAGTCATGAGCTATCCCACCACGTCTCAATAGCTGCAATGAGATCATGGCCTATGACTGCACATATCTTTCCAGTTCTTGTTTATTCCCCATGCTGCATATGTTTGTATACAGGCATTTCAGAGAGGATCAAGCAATGAGGTTCTCTAGAAGGGGAGTAAGAGGATTCACCATGACCAAAAACATCCTTGATGTGGTTAGCCCTTTGGTCCTCAACTTGAGAGGCAGCCAAGGAACATCTGTCACTGCACTGGTTGGTATGACCTACTCCCCAGGGGGAAGCAATGGCAAAAGCATTGCCACTTTGGACTCCAACCCTAAGTCCTTCAGTTTAAAGCCTATCTCACCAAACTGGCTGGCCTGCTGCCAAAGATCCCATTTCTCACTAACAGGCTACAATCATTAAAGCACAACCCATTGTTACAAAAGCCCAAACCTTCTCAATAGCACCAGACACAAGAACATTGACCTGCACTATGCATCTGCTTCTGGCTGTCCCGATTCCTCTAACCAGGAAGAAAAATGAGAAGATGACTTGGGCATCAGTGTTTCTCATCTGCCTCACCAGGCCTTTATGGTTTTCCTTGATCCTACCTCTTTTTTGGCTTGTGGTGCCATTTGCACCCACATGAAAAAGTAATAGTGGGTAGTAGTCTGTGCTTTTGACAGTTTGGTGTACCCTCCTGACAACATCA